TTTGTGCCAAGTTTGCTCCAGATCCATAATTGTTTGAGTCCACAGTGCTCTTTGAACTACAACTCCCAAACCCAAGGTCAAGGCCCATCAAACCCTTCTAGTATTTTCTGTTGGTCATAGGAGTTCTGTGTGCCAAGTTTGGTTCAATTCCATCATTGGTGGAGTTCAGAATGCCCTTTGATTATAGGTGAACTATAAATCCCAGCAACTACAACTCCCAAATGACAAAATCAACTCCCCCTCAACCCCACCAGTATTCAAATTTGGGAGTATCAAGTATTTGTGCCAAATTTGGTCCAGTGAATGAAAATACATCCTACATATCAGATATTTACATTACAATTCATAACAGTGGCAAAATTACAGTTATGAAATAGCAACAAAAATAATTTTATGGTTGGGGGTCACCACAATATGAGGAACTATATTAAGGGGTTGCGGCACTAGGAAGGTTGAGAACCACTGCCTTATCTAGAGTACAACTCTAAGAGCAAGGACTATTGAATTGATTAGTTGTAAGTGACTCTGGGACCTTTCTGACTAAATGAATGCAGCAAAAATGTTTTTAAATTTAATAGATTAAATAAAATATTGGCATTATATTGTCGAAGTATAAAGTCTATTCTTTATAGGGGTTTTTGCAGTTTGTCACTGAAATATGCTATCATTTGTTACTCAGGCACAGTTTTGCTGCTGTCTCTCTCCTCCTCCTACTCTGTACAGACTGTTCCGGTGAGGCTCATGTTGGATATGGAGCAGATTTTTATTTGTACTCAGATATTTTAATGTTGTTTCATTTTAAAAACCAAAGCACTTGAAATTAAGAGTTCGTTACTTTTTAAATAAAAAATAAATAAAGCAAATGTACACTTCGTATAGTCACTCCAAATGGAGGTAACATGTATTCACTGGCAACATCAACACCTGCTTATTCATAAAGTGTTGCCAGCATAGTTGGCACTTTCCAGAATAGTAAGAACAGAAGTCAGCCTCTGCCCAAGGTATTCACAGTCTAGAAACAGCTTCTTGGGTAAGCAAGAGACGAAAATGAGTGGGATAGATGCATAAAGATACAGAAGATGAATCCATGTTATATTTATTCAGATCCAAATATATAGTAGCCCCTGCTGGCGCAGTGGGTTAAACCGCTGAGCTGCTGAACTTGCTAACCAAAAGGTCACAGGTTCGAATCTGGGGAGTGGCGTGAGCTCCTGCTGTTAGCCCCAGCTTCTGCCAACCTAGCAGTTCGAAAACATGCAAATTTGAGTAGATCAATAGGTACCGCTCTGGTGGGAAGGTAACAGCTAGGGCTGGGCGGTTTCGTTTCGTTAATTCATAATTCGTTAATAATTCGTTAATTTTTTCAATTACAAAACGATAACGAACCATTCTGGAGCAATTATTAAAAAAAACGAATTTTCAAAAACGTTTTGTAAATGCTTCGTATTTTGATATTGTATTCGTTTCATTATTGTTTTGAGGTCGTTTCATTATTATTTCCGCATGTCTGGGCCAGTTTTATGGTTTAATTAGTGAAAAAAAATTATAATATCACACCAACAGTCAACAACAGAGGGAGAGGGAAGCTTCAGAAGGTTTTGGAGGTTTTTTAGCGTATTTCGCGGTCGCGTCCGCCATTAACGAATCGATTCGTTATTGTTTCGGAAATCGATTCGTTAATTTTTTACCATTTACGAAATTTCGTAAATATCGAACTTTTTAAAAGGAAAATTTTGTAATTTTTTAAATATCGAAACAAAAAAACCCCCCAAATACAAATCGATTTTAGAAACAAATTTTTCCGTTGTTACCCAGGCCTAGTAACAGCATTCCATGCAGTCATTCTGGCCACATGACCTTGGAGGTGCCTATGGACAACACTGGCTCTTCAACTTAGAAATGGAGATAAGTACAAACCCTCAGAGTTGGACATGACTGGACTTAATATCAAGGGAAAACCTTTGCCTAAATATATAGGCTTGGTTTCAGTAGAAATGAGGCTTAACTTAAACCACGGAGTGGGAATCAAGTGGCCCTCCAGCTGTTGTTGGGTGGCAACTTTTATCAGTATTAACCAACATAGCAGATGGTCAGGAAGGCTGAGTGTTGGAGTTCAACAACATCTGGAGTTCTGGATCTGCTCTTCTTTCTAAACAGTGATGAAATGTTGGAGGTGCTTAGCAAAGATGTATATGCAATCAGTGGGTAGTGGAGATGTAAAGAATATTCACAGCATTTATTGTTTTCAGCAAGAAAGAATATTTCAACACATTGAGATGATCTATACCAGGCATGGGCAAACTTTCTAACTTGGGGGGGGGCACATGATGGGCCAGAGTGGGGTGGGCAGGCCAGGAGGGAGGGGGTTCTCCCCAAGTCCCTTCTCTGCCCTTTCCTCCCCTTCCTCTTCTCTTTCAGAGGCAGAAAGTGAAGGAAAGACAGGAAACATTTGGATCCCAATAGGGTTGGTCTTGGTCAGGATGAGATGGTGGACAGAAGAGAAAAAGTGTATCCATTAGACCCCATATTGCCTACTTCTGATATATAATCCTAGAATCCTAGAGCTGCGGAAAGGCCTCCAGAGAAGGAGACTCAACCACACTCCCAGACAGCTCTTACTCTCAGGATGTCCTTCCTAATCTTTTCAGTCGAATCTCTTTTCCTGCCATTAGAAACCATTTATCCCTTGTGCCCTGGTCTCCAGAGCAGCAGAAAACCAGTTTTCTATTTCCTCCTCAGTGGGACACCTTTTAAAATCTTGAAACATAGCTCTACCCTTTGTACCTTCTCTTCTCCCAGCTAAACATCCCAGGAAGAAAGGAGGAAGGAAAAAGAGAAGAAAGGAGGATAAGGGTGGAAGGAAGGATGGAATGGAATTGAGGGAAGGGAGAGAGGAAGGAAAGAGAGAAGGAAGGAAAGACAAAAGGAAAAAAAGGAAGGAAGGAAAAAGGGAGAGAGGGAAGGGGGAAGGAAAGAAAGAGAGAAGGAAGAAAGGACAAAAGGGTTGAAGGGAAGGAGGGAGGGAGGGAGAAAGAGGGAGTTAAGGGAGGAGGGAAAGAAGGATAGAATGGTGAGAGAGAGGAGGACCTGAGGAAAGAGCCCAAGGGGCCACATCCGGCCCCTGGGCCTGGGTTTGCCCATACCTGCTCTATACAGTAAGTGGTTGCCTGATGTGAGATTTTTCACTTATTGTCAAAGAATTCTATGCAATAAAACATTGGTCCACCAATTCCTCAGTTACATATTTCATGGGCTACCTCTGCCCCCAAGACGTACTTTACTAGAGGTCAGCTGCACCAAGAGAAGGAAATCTGTTCTGCTGGCAATTGGTATGCAGAAGGATGTTTCCATCCCACTCTTGCCAGAAACATGGCTGCAATAAGGCATTGTAATATAAGTCTTCTTTCTGATTTTCAAAGCCTCACCGACTGGTGGGAATTGATGGAGTTCATGTAAGGGCTGGGGACAAATTGCAATAAAAGACAGCTAACAACATTTTAACCCCATTAGCAACAGAAAAATAACAGAACTTGAGATCCAGGCTATTCCTGTCCTATGTGAAACCAACCCCATTCTTTTTACATTCCATTAAAAGTCTCTGTTCTGTTCTATTTGGGGAAAAATAGATGTTGAATAGATGAATTTACCAATTTTAGAGAAAATGAAAGAGTTTATTTATTTACCATATTTATACCCCACCCTTCTCAACCCAAAGGGGACTCAGAGCAGCCTTACAAGTAGGCAGCAATTCGATGCTGCACAAATACATTCAAATAAAATAAACAATACATTAAAATCAAGAAGTTAAAAACATTAAACATTAAAACCAACCATTAAAACCACATAGTCCAAAAACATTTGGATAGAGTTTTACTTTTGTTGGAGGTAGAAACTTCAAAGACTTATTCTCAGTCCCATTAGCTCCCTCATGTTAGCATCTCTAGACCCCACATGGCCAAGAGCAGTCGTGTCCTCTTCAACACACCATAATTGACAACATCTGAGACACATCGTAGGCCCGTGACACTTTTCTTCTCCTGTATGATCTCAAATATCTTTACCTGATGAGGAAGCCAGTAAAGCTTCAAAAGCTCTCATGATGCATTTTATGTTTTTTAATTGGCCAATAAAACTATCACTTTTGTGAATGTTGGATTTTGTTTCAGTATAGCTTGCTAACCAGTATTTTTGGTACAAATCCCAATAGTCTTTGATTTAGATCAGCCCCAGAGTATTTGTGCAAAATGTTGTATTTTTGCATGAAATGATATTGTTGTGAAAACAAACGCTTCTTGTGTGAAATATTCCTGAAATTTGGAAAAAACCAGAAAACATGAAAAGAGAAAAAAATGCAGTGGCAAGCATTTTGAAATACATCATTCTCACATACACAGAATAAGCAAAAACAGGCTTCTCTCTTTGATGCACATTTATTCGGCTTTTTTCACGGAAGTTGCCGAAGCATCAATAGCCTCAGACTACAAATGGCGTGATTTTAATACTGAGTGTAATTTTATTTTTTAATTTTAAATATGCATTAATTTTAATTCACTGGATTTTCAGCTTAATGTTGTATGTGTTTAAGGCATTGAATAATTGCCGTATGTAAACTGCCTTGATTCCCTCTTGGGGTAGAGAAAGGCGGGGTATAAATAAGGTAAATAAATAAATAAATCTGTGGCAAAATGATGTGTACTGTTTTGGTAAATCAAGCATTGATGCATGACTGAATTGACAAAGTGTGATTATTTTACCTACATGCTATGGTTTCTTGCTTTAAAAGTTCATTATAAGGATAACAAAGGGCCAGATAGTCTTATGACATATTCTTCTGTGACACAAAAGACCGTAGGTCCAGCCAATAACCCTGACTTTCAAGTGCTTTATACATTTCTGCGCAAGTAATACTTCCTATTGAATCCCTGTTTGGACTGCTTAGCTGTTTCAATAAGCTTTTGATCTTTTGATGTTACTCCCTTTCTCCTTTCTCTTTTTTCTAGACACCCCTTCACAAAGGGTACAGTTTATTTTGGGAACAGAAGACGATGACGAGGAACACATTCCCCATGACCTGTTCACAGAACTGGATGAACTTTGCTGGCGTGAAGGAGAGGATGCCGAATGGAGGGAGACAGCCAGGTGAATGCCTGTTTTCAGGAGGTTCTCTGCTCAGCATCCAAAAACATGGTGGGACCTTTCAAAGACACAAGGAAGCCTCCCTCCTCAAATGGCCATTTAGATTTCAACCAAGGGTGCATTTAAATCCACCTCCTAGCTAGTTTTGCTTCCCGTGACATCACTCTACAAAGCCAGATGTTGCCACAGCTGGATTTTATATTTTGTAGGTCAGAGCATGTTTATAGGGGAGGAAATTAATGGAAATGGCAATGAATAAAAGCATTAACATGAAAGATCTTTAGTTAGATTTTTCTCTCTCGCTCCTTTCTTTTATCCGATGAAAATTGATGAACATATTTTAAATTCATTTCTGGAGAAAAACAGATTGAACCAAAAATGAATAAACATTGGATTTAAACACTTACCCAGATGAATAGTAAAGTTAGAAATGGAGGTATGCTGCTCACAAGTATTTTATTGAACTTACTTTTCCCCCGATTAGAAAATATAATATAGTGAATGACTACTATTTACTGTAATGAGGTAGAAGAGGCATTACATAATGCTTTTTGCAACACTAATCCTGAAGTAATAGGCTTTTAGGGTAAATCCTAAATCTAACAAAGTTCCAGTAAAGCAGGCATTGATCTGCTGATAACTCCTGGGAATGTGAAGGGTGGCATTCCTTACCCTCAGCTAATATCGTCTCAGGATGCTGTTCTCTTTGGTTGCCTATGGCAGAGCATTATTTTACAGACTAACCTACCTCACAAAGTTGTAGTGCATTGAAATTCTCATTCTTAATATTTTTGGAGCAATGCATCCAGGTCCCCATTGTATTTAGCATGTTGGTCATAGTAGATATGTTTCATAAGAGACTACCCTTACTATGAGTGGTATTCTATTTGGAATAAAAAATAGTTCAAAGAATACATAATTACTTTATCGTTAATCCTCCATAGCCAAGAATTCTGCATCCACAGATTCAACAATCCAGGTTTTAAAAAATATTCACACACACACAAATCTAAAAAAGTAAACCTTAATTATACTATTTTATATAATGGACACCATTTTACAACACCACTGCATTTAACAGGACTTGAATATCCACAGACTTTGTCTTCCACGCATGTGTGGGTGTGTGTCTGGAACCACGCCTTAGGGGCTACCATGGACTCACTATACTCTGTTAAATGCAGTTGTAGAGTATTATCTATCAATTTGCTTCTCAGCTTTCTGACTAAGTTCAAATGTAGAACTGTAGATTCAAGTCACTTTTAAGGCATCAATCTTGTTTACCCTTTTCCAGCTTCCTATAACTCACAGCTCTTTGGGGAGGCAATTGGAACCAATATAATCAACAAATAGCAACAAATAAAATAATATATGCCTTCTGCAATCTTAGTTCAAAGTGGAGAAGACCCATTGAATCAGTGCTATTTAATTGAGTATTAAGTTACCATTAAGCAGTTGATTCACTGGGTTTATTCCAGCGCAGTTTCATGGGAATTATATAGTGTTGTTTTCTTGTAATGTTCAGCAGCCCTTGCCGGTGTAGCTCCCCAAAGAAAATAGCTGAGTAAACTTTTTCTTTTCTCAGGTGGCTGAAGTTTGAAGAAGATGTTGAAGATGGGGGAGAGAGGTGGAGTAAGCCATATGTTGCCACTTTGTCGCTTCACAGTTTGTTTGAAGTGAGAAGTTGTATCCTCAATGGCACAGTGTTACTAGACATGAGGGCAAATTCTTTAGAAGAAATTGCAGGTAAGCAAGAGTATCACACAATCAAATATAAATGGTAGTATTTCTTCATACCATCCTTCTAAATAAATAGAACCACCTCAACTTGTAACAGAAGTAGCATTTTTTTAAAAAAAAACATATGCTATATATAGCATGACACTGGTGTTGATATTTCCAAGATTATTATGAAGGCACGAAGGATTATGAGTTGTGGAAACGAACTTTGAAGGTGAAGACATTTATGCTTTGGGTGTGATTCTTGTTGAAAGGAAGGTGCTGGTTACCAGAAGGGAAGTATAGAAGTTGTAAATCAGGAAGCTGTTGAAAAAAAGTGCATTTGTAGAGTATTTGAAATACAGGGGGATGTTCCTGAACTTACTGGGGAAACTGAAAACCATAGACAATATGGAACCTTGTTGAAATGAACAACTTCTGCTGGAAGTTACCCCAAAGAATCTAGGAAATTTCTAGAGAGGTATCCTCTCTAGGAATTTGCTAGGTCTTGGTGGAAGCATACCATAGAATCACCTGGCGGACCTAAAAATTCCTAAAGCAGACATATTTTGTCAGCTGTGAATAGATTAAACAGTAGTCACTAGTCCTGTTGGTATCCTGTGTCTTCCTGCTTGTCCCCTCGGAGCCCAGGGTGGAGACAGTTGGAGTGGAGGAAGGGACTTTCATCTGCTTTTGGGCCTGGGCATAATGGAGCAGTGCACTCCTCTTCTTCTCCCTCTTTGAGGCCAGGACAGTGGCAGTTGGGATGGAAGGCGGGCTTTTCATTTGCTTCTGGGCCAAAGGATGATGGAGATATGCCTGTTTCTTCTTCCCATTTGTCCACCCCCCTGTTACATTAAGTTTGTCCAAATTACTCAGTGCAACAAGTACATATTTTGACATTTATTTTATGAACACCAGATTTTTGAGCCCTTCTTCAAACTTCTCAAATAGCTGTCATGTGGCAGCTATTTGAGATGCAAAATGTCTTTGGGAGTAGAGAGACAGTTGCAAGGGCCTATCTGGATCTCACCTGCCATAGCCATGTTCTAGATACATTCTGGTTCATTTGCGGAGTCTGCTTCATTCTCTATACACCATACACATGCATTTGGAAGTCCATCCCTGTTGAACTCCATGGAAGAACCTCCAGTCTTGCTTCACAGTATTGTATCACTATCTATCTATCTATCTATCTATCTATCTATCTATCTATCTATCTATCTATCTATCTAAAACATAGCTCCATAATGGGCAGAGGGAGATGTTTGGACTGTTCTAGAGAAATAAGTGATAGTAGTTATTGGACAGTTTCAGAATCAAGAGTTTGGAAATGTTACTTTTTTGGAATTAAGCTCCCAGAAAACCCTAGCCAGGATGTGAAGAGTTTTGGGAATTGTATCAAAAACAGAAATAAGTTTGTTTTCTCTCATCATTTTTTGCCTTGCTTGGGTCTTGTGATTGCTGAATCATCTAGGAATCTACAGCACGTAAATCAGTGTTGAATCTAGGAATCTACAGCATGTAAATTAGGATGTTTAGTATTGACTTCAGAGATCTTTTATCAGCAGGAACCAGTCAGACCACATCTAGACTTTGCCCCCTCTAGACAGCTTCTGGACAGCTGTCACTCAGTATCAGCCAAATAAGAGTGATGTGTTTTCCTTAACTTTATAAAACATTATTCATTCTAGAGTCCCTATTCCCCAAAAGTGTGTGAGGGCTACAACTATTGTTATTATTTTTAAGGGTTCATGATCTGTTCATGGTGTCATTTGGTTGTTCAAAACAAAGTTACCCATTTTTTATTCTGACAGCCTAATTTCACTACAGGGTTTTTTTTGTAGCTTCCACTTATTAGAAATTGTGTTTATTGTGTTTTAATGTATTTTAACAATATGGATTTCACAACTATAACATTTCTTTCTACTGAGGTGTGTAATAAACATACATCTTAAGTGACTCCAAAAAAATGTTCTTTCTAGGCACTTTCTACAACTTCCAAGGTGATTCCTTGGTATGCATCTGTTGGAAGCTACCATTGAGTCACAATGGAGGATGTAGAAAATGCCTAGAAAAGATGTTCTCCCTAGCCATTTCCCAGGTCCTCCAGTGTGATTCTATGGTACATTCATTTGAATATTGTTTATTATTTTTCATGATTTTGTGTATTCACAGCAAGTCTAGGAACATAATATCCACCGATATGGAGTTCATACTGTAGATATATCTATTATTTGTGTAAATCACTTGTCTGTGTGCTGGTTACAGATTAAACTATTATTATGTGCTCTGCATGGTGACTTGGAAATTGGTATGGAATAGAATGACAACTGCTGTGGGATAGTTGTTAGGCCAGAAGAAGACATTGTAATAGCTTTGAACCAGTGATACAGACCTGGACCCTTTCATGCTATACAACTACGTGGTTATGGCATTAGAATTTCACTTCAGCTGCTATGTTGAAATCCAGTGGGATCCTGGAGTTGCCAGCTGAGGCTGATGTCCTAGGAAGCCTCACCCAAAAAGCTCCTCTGGCGCCTCTGAGCAAACTGCAAACTCCAGAAATCTGTTGTATGCAGTCATGACAGTTAAAGAGGAATCATACTGCCATAACCATGTAGTGTGAAAAGGCCCATGTGATATTTTGATTAGCAAGAATGAAGGCAGTCATTGCCAATTTTCTCTATAGTGTTATCGTTTTAGTGTATGGGATGCCAAAGTGCTCACCTCGGCAGCCTACATAATAAAACTAGACTTTATTTTGGTTACAATCTCCCCAGTAACAACAGCTGGGGAGATATTTTTGTAGCAACAATTTATTATTGTACACTATATCCCTGCTGTATTGTTGGGCATTTTGGAGAAACTGGATGCAAAGAATGTTTAGCTTTAGAGAACTGCTGTTCTTGGAGTAATGGGTGGAAATTAGATGGAAATGACTCAGGATGTCTTGCAGACTTTGAGATAAAGTGCTGGGAAAACTCGAGTAGGAGGTATTGTACTGTTTGGGTACAAGTTGTGCCTCTCTCTTTCCCCTTTGCATGAAATTTCATTTCAGTCCAGCCACTTCCATAAGCAAGACAGAGCCAGGCTGTATGGAAATGATTTTACAAATATATATATATATATGTATTTCATAATTGGAAGCCAGATATGTATTTCATGCATAGATGTTATTGGATTGTGCAACTGATATACTACTATGCTTTTGCCCCTTTGTCCCCATGTTTCTTTCATCATTTATTTCTTCATTTATAAACTTGCTTTCTGTGACTCATTTTTCATTTTTTTTGCTGAATAAGCTATTGATTTTGGTTGTATTATAACAGCCAAAATAATTTTTTGTTAAATTAGGAATTTAGAATTCATGAAATGTAGCAATTTAGATATAAATTGGTGCTTGCATGTGTAGATCGACTTAATGGCAGGGACAGAAGGTACAGCAAGCAACTGACTTGTTTCATTTTGCAATCCTCTGAGTTTCTGCTGTATTCTTTCAAGATCATTACTATCAAGCCCATAGGCAGTGTGCAGGGGGAGGAGGGTCAGGATGAGTTCACCCCCCCCCCCAAATGTTTCAGGTTAAAATACAAACCTGGTTTACTCATGAATTTTCTCTGCTTTACCAAATCCTCATGCTAAGTCTTGATAATTTTTTTCAAACTATCATTATCTGCCTTTCCATTTATTTAGATTGCAATAGCAGCAATAGCTGACATAGTGGAAGCAACCAATTTTTGATGTCACAGATGTTTGATCAAGATTTTTGATGTGAAGATGATATATTGCACCCAAACTGACATCCAAATCAAACTCCCCAGGTTAAACTCCATAAAAAACTTAAGTTTAAACACAGTTTATGATGTCTCCAGGTATATAACTACTATGATAAGTTGTGCTTGCTTTAAACATTTATACTTTAATTTCTCCTAGACCAGCGGTCGGGAACCTTTGGCTCTCCAGGTGTGGTGGACTTCAACTCCCACAATGCCTTGAGGCTCGGCACTAGCCAAGGCCAAGGCTCTTTTTCATGGAGGACGGGCAGCAAAGGCTGGCCTCGGAGGGACAGAGCGGGCGGAAACCCCTGCGGGCAACGCGCCTCCTCGCTGCTTCGGCTCCGCCCGCTAGTGCTGAGCCTCAAGGCATTGTGGGAGTTGAAGTCCACCACACCTGGAGAGCCATAGGTTCCCGACCGCTGTCCTAGACTATAAAAATATGTTTGAATAACTAGGCATCAGATTAAAGATATTTCTGTGTAGTTTCTAAAAATGTAATAATATGTGTGCATCATTGATCTTGATTTTTAGATATTCGAATTTAACTTGAGAATGCATGTATACAAAATCTTTCAAAATACTTTATCTCTGATTTTAATCAACATTTTTTGTAAAATTTGAACACAATTATACATTTTATTATGTAGTTTAATAATAAAATGGCTATTTTGAATTCAGGATTTTTTTTTGGATTTTGGAATATCTGCATTTGCATGTATGTACATAATGAAATATTATGGATTTGGGATCAAATCTAAACACAAAATCCATTTGCTTCTTGTACACCTTATATACGTAACCTGAAGGTAATTTTGTACACAATAGCCTTAATCATTTTGTACATGAGAAGACATTTGTGTACATTGAATCATCGTTGAGCAAAGGTGTTGCTCAATTGTCCAGTCATCCAACTGGACAATTTCAAAGTATTGTCGAAGGCTTTCATGGCTGGAATCACTAGGTTCTTGTAGGTTTTTTCGGGCTATAGGGCCATGTTCTAGAGGCATTTCTCCTGACGTTTCGCCTGCATCTCTGAGGATGCTTGCCATAGATGCAGGCGAAACGTCAGGAGAAATGCCTCTAGAACATGGCCCTATAGCCCGAAAAAACCTACAAGAACCTAATTTCAAAGTATTTTGGATTTCAGAATTCTGGTTAAGGGATAAGCTAGCATAGTACTGAGTAGAGTGAGTGTGAGAGAGCACACAATACTTTCTCCTTACCTGCTGATGTAACTTATAACCTGTA